TCTAGCCACTGCTTTCATCCTCACAATGCCTGGGTGTGCTGCATGCAGTGTTGTCAGTATGATTTGGTGTCCTGCTTCTGCAATTACGACATGATTTTCCCACAAGAGGCAACCCTTGTGGGCAGACAGCTCATGCTGATGTTATGAAAATGGCCTGAATTCCTCAGTCAATTTGTCTGCAGGCCAGCCCCTCCACATCCAGTTGAGAACAAAGGCAAGGATAGGGTCTTTTGCAGTCATCCTTGCTATCTGAGCAACCTGATGAGGGGCTTCTGGCATGGATTCCAGCATGAGGACTTCCGTTGGTGGAGGAGCAGTACAATCAGGTATTTGTAGTGGTAGGTGGCTCAATGCATCAGCATTTGCAATCGTTTTCCCAGATTTGTACATGAGTGTATAGCCATATGCATTTAGCATGGTGCTCCAGCATTGTATACGGGCAGACAAAATAGGAGGAGTTGGTTTGTCCATAGTAAAAATTCCAAGAAGGGGTTTGTGGTCTGTTCGGATTTCAAATTTGAGGCCATAAATGTAAATGTGAAATTTTTGACTCCTTCAATGATTGCCAATGCTTCTTTATCAATCTGTGCCTAGTTCCTCTTGGTTGAAGTCACTGTTCTAGAGTAAAAAGAAACAGGTGCGTCTGTGCCATCAGGCAATGTGTGACTGAGGACAGCGCCAAAACCAAACGGCAAGGTATCACAAGTAATGGACAGTGGCTTCTGCTCATCCTAGTGAACAAGGACAGAGTCTGATGTCAGTAATTTCTTGATGTGCTAGAAGGCTTCATTGTGCTGGCAAGTTCTCTTCCACTGAGCTCCTTTATCCCATAAGTGATGAAGAGACTCTGCTATGGTGGGATTGTCTCTTAAGAAGATGTGATAAAAATTGAGAAATCCTAAGAATGCTTGAAGATCCTGTCTGCATTTTGGTGTCGGGTAGGAACATCATGTATTGCTTTTACCTTGTCTTCAACTGGGTGAATGCCAGAAGCATCCATTTGATATCCCAGAAAGTTGATATTGGAAAGTCCAAGTTGACATTCTCTCTTTTTCTTCTGATACCTGCTTTATTGAATCTCTGTTAAACCTCTCTGAGTCTCTCAGTGAGTTTCTCTCTAAATGGCCCCATGATCAACACATCAGCAAAGTATGGAACGACCCCAGAAGTTCCTGCTAGCATTTTCTCCACAAACTGCTAGAAAATCCCTGATGCCACAGAAATTCCAAACTGGAGGCACTTAAAACAGAATGCTCCCCAGTGTGAATTATTGTTTGGGCCTTAGCAGCCTTGTCATCCACTATCAATTGCTGATAGGCTTGAGCGAGGTCAAGTTTGGCAAAAACTTTCCCTCCTGCAAGAACAGACAGTAACTGGTTAATGGCAGGCACTGGGTGCAGATCCTGCTTAAGTGCTTTATTAACAGTGCACTTGTAATCCCCACAGATGTGAACACTGATGTTAGGCTTTAAAACAGGAACAATTGGTGTGGCCTTGCACGATAGGCCAATCTAATTCTGCATCAATTTTCAGCTGCAGTGTGAAAGGTACATTCCAAGCTTTCATTAAGATCGGGGCTATGACAAGATCCATTTGGAACATCACAGGTGGACCAGAGTAAATTCCTAATTCCTCAGAGAATACGTGGGGAAACTCCCTTGCAAGCCTTTCCAGACTTTCTGTGCAGAGACTGTGTACGCTTTGAACACTGATTCCCAATGGTGAGAACCAATTTCTCCCCAGAAGACTTTTGCGGGAATCCTTAGTGACAATGAGGGGTAGACGCTGTCTAACAGATCCATACTGGACATCTACACTGCAGCTACCCAAAGTTTCCACAATCTGTCCCTTGTAGTCATGCAGGCGACACTTAGGTTTCAATAACTTGGGAAGAGGGTGCCAAAACAAGCCGAAACAAGTGGAAGAATGTGTTTTAATCTATGAGAGATACTCCTGAACCCAAGTCCACTTCCATTTTGCACTTCTTTCTATTTATTACTACAGTTGCAATGATCTCAGAACCGTGAGTTTCAACAATACCAACATTTTAAATCAAATATAGTTTTTGTACCTCACATCTGGGGAGGGAGAGGAACCAAGAATGCCTCTGGCTCCACATGGCAAAGAAGGTGGAGTCCCAGTGCTGCAAAACTGCCACAAAGCAACTGAACCCTACAGTCCAAACATGAGGGCTTTGTCCTTAAAGGGACAGTACAAGGAAAACACAGTAAGATAAAAAGTTAACTGCTGTGCAACTTCACAGACAACCCAGAAACCACAGATGGCAGCAAGAACACCCTAGGCCTACTCAGCAGGAGAAACCCTCTGACAGTCCCTGAGGATTTCTAGCCTTTCCCTGCTTAGGTACTCGGCACCTCCAATACAGAAAGGGTGATACTTTACCCAATTCCAGCTTCCTCAGCCGAAGCCCAAAGGAATGAGCGCGAGACAGGTAAGCCTCAGCGAGCTCAGTCCCAACCAGGTCACAGCAAGGAACCTGAACTTGACAAATTCCCACACCCCAAGAGCCTGGAGTCAGGACTGTCCAGTCAGAGCGAGAGCAAGGTGCAGCCCAAACCTGAGCGCACAGAGCACACAGAGCTCCTGCTGGCTGCTCTGGATAGGATTTATGGTCTTCTAATCATACCACCTGTCACTCACCCAATGGTCCAATCATCGCCCTTTGCACAATACCCAATCAAATTCAAACCTGGGCAATACTTAAAAGGACCAATCAATTCAAACTATTTCAAAACAATACAAGCAACATTATCATAATTAACATATCAACATTGATAAACAGTTGCATTACCATTATACACTGCACATGCCTAGACCTTAATAGTAGGTCATGACTTCATCAAGGTTGAGAGTTCAAACCCTCTAGAAACTTCTTGCCTCTAGTCATACAGCACAAGTGTGGACTTTAACTGTTCTACAATACTTAAAATGATTTCTTATTACTGACTTTGGAGAGTTAGGGTTGCATTTTTCAATGAGTCTCTGCCTAGTGGGATACTTGAAAATCAAACTTTTTGGCCTCAATTAAGACAATAGTTTTGTAGGGGGTGCACCCCTGCGCATGGCGGTGCATCCCCTACAAAAAGGTGTCACCAACACTTCCAGCAGCAGCTGTGGGTGGTCACCAACTCTTGGTCAGCGCTCACCACCCCCACCCCACCACCGGCAGGACTGGCAGTGGGAGCTCCCCTGCTTACCGCCACTGTGCTCCCACTGCTCTTGCTGCCACCACTGCACTCTTGCCACCGCTGTGCCCCCCCAGCCACTGGGGACACAAGTCGTTCGTGCTGGAGGACTTCATTCTAGCATCAGGTCAGACATCAAACATGCTCTGTCTCCAACACAGAGAAGTGTTACCCTTTCTGTAGATAGTTTCATTGTGCCTGCAGAGCAGGGGCCAGGACCAAGGATCTTTTTCCCTCCCTGAGAATTGCCCAAGCTAACAGATTTCCTCTTGCTTACTGTACCGTTTATACATTTTATATTGGACAGTGATTGGTTAAAAAAATGTAACTAAGCCTGGCAGCTTGAATGGAGGACTCCTTTCCAAGGGCCTACCCTAATAAGCCGGCTTGTTTTCCTCATTCTGGAACCATACCTCTTACATTTTGGCTTCCCACTGGCTCAGCTTCAACTTGAACAGTAGTGTGTGCCCTTGGTTAACTCATTCTGGTAGATCTTGCATTTGAACTATCAGGCTACATAAGGATGAATCACCTACCTCCAGAAACTTACCCGGAAGTGCAAAAAGTGGATTGATGCATTGTGAATTGCAAGTAAATGGAAATGCAGATAGCAAGAGTCAGGTATATAAGCTCCTGAGAGGGTGGGAATTCAGACATACTCCTGTAGATTAGCAGTCCTAGCTAGCTATTTCCACATTCCTCCAAGCTTCTGAATTGCACTTTAGAGGTACTTTACACTCCCCATTCTCTGTATGTAACATGGAGGCACTGAAACCCCAGTGTCTTATAAGCTATAAACAGGCATTGCCAAATGAAGTGGATCAGCTGTGCTGGGATGTGTCCTGGCACAGCTGATCTGCTTCATGGGATAATGCATAAATCGCCTGCATAGCTGGGCCTCTGCCACTCGCAGAGATTATTCCCTAGGCATGTGTATTGCAGACAGGTTTCCCCATATGCAGAAGTGTGCCCCAAGCTGGGGTATGTCTGGGCAATACTTACACCTGAGAAATCTCCTTTTGGTGGATTTCAGAAGCACACATCTGCAAACAGAGAACCCAGACAGGCACTACCCTGGCTTCCAGGGTCCAATCCTGTGTTCCCCAAGCATGGGAATATGTCTTGGGTTAGTACTATTCAATAATTTTATTAATGAAATGGGAATTCTTGGGGCATGCAGGATCAGGCCCCTGAAGCCCCACATCTGTCTGTGGTGGTTTGAAAGTGGGAGTAGCTCAGCACTTCCACTCTTCTGCCATAAAGCAAACAGACATCTGCCACAATAAAACAGAACAAATGTATGCTACCTTTTGTTGCAGCCACAATTCTGGGCATCTGTGATGTGACAAAAGGCATAGATATCTGTTTGCTAGGCATTTGTGCTGCCGTAAAAATTTGCACAAAGGCACAAAGGCAGCATCTGTCTCCATCCATGCAGTCTCCAAAGTCTCTCCATTGACTTCCTGGGTATCCCAGGTGCCTCTCTAGGCCATTTTGAATCACCGCCCTAGGGCAGGTGATCAAAAGTTAAGTGAATCCATGCCGAAGTCAAGGCTCTACTTACACAATATGAATCTGTATTTATTTTTCAAAATAATATGATCCAACTCTTATGGGTCCATTAATGAAAATACACAATCAGTTAGAAGATTACATTCGGAAGATTCAGATTATTATTAAAAATAATTTATGCCAAGATAATGTGCTTGACTAATCATATTCACATTTTAAGATTCAATGAATAATTTATTTTCTGTTGCTGTTGCAGACTTAAAGACCCAAAGTCTCTGAAGAATGAATGAAATTCAGGCTGCCTGTTGGAATAGTACACCTGACTTGTTTAACAAATCTTGGAGTGGAGGTCATTACTATCAGGTGATCAGTGCAGCAGAAACAATTATCCTTCCTTCTCTAATTGGGATTATCTGTTCTACTGGTTTAATTGGAAATATCCTCATTGTGATCACTATAATAAGGTATGGAATATAGCATACGTTATGCAACAGTGGTTAACTATTGCAAAAATATATGAATAATTTAAGGCAGGGGTCAGGAACATACACTTAGTGGGCTAGATCTGGATCCACTGAGAGCCACTGGATCTGGCTCTAAGAGCTGCAGGCCTTTGCCTGTATTCATGCCCACACTGGGGCTGAGCAGCAAGGAGCTGTGCTAGGATCAAGGAGCTAGAAGTTGTGCCCATACCACTGCCACTTTTCCCTGTCCTCCTCCCCTTTCTCCCTCCCAAACTGTGCTGTGAATTCAGCTTCTAGTCAGAGGGGAGGCTCCACCCTAAAGTTCATTGATACAAAACCTGACGCCTTTATGTTCTCTATTTTTTCTTCAAGAGAAAAATAGAGGACATAAAGGCATCAGGTTTTGTATCAATAGAGGACAGAGGACAAACGGATTGTCCTCTATGATGGCCACCCTAAGATTCACTGGAACCAGGCTTGGTGGGAGAGCACTGGGGTAGAGGAAAAGTGGCAGCATCGTGGAAGCAGCTTCTAGCTGCTCTGTTCCGGGCAGGAGCTACACTTGTGCCACTGCTGATTCTCCCAGTCCCTGGACTTCCAAGCTATGGTGTGTTCACAGCTTCCACTCGGAAGGAAACTGCACTGGGATGGTACATAAAATAGAATACATTTATTTCATTATTATCTATTTATTTATTTCATTATTTATTGTATTCAAGTTTATTTCATGATTTATTTAGTACGTGAATGTTTCCTTAGTCATTTTAAGATTTACTTCTGTCAAAGCAAATTTCAGAAAATACAATGTCAATATATGCTTTGGTCCATTCCTTCTCAGGAAACAATGTAAGTGCCTGCTTTACTTCCTCCTCTGTTTATTCAGTTCAGAGGCACATGTTGAAGACCTATTCCTGAACGGATAGGGGGGCTTTATTAAAACCCAGTCCTGCTCCCACTGAAGTAAATAACAAAAATCCATTGGTTTTGATGCATTTTATATATGGCCTTACGCTTTATCTACTGCAGTGCTTCCCAAACTTTTCTGCAGCATGACCCCATTTATGCCTCCATTTCCTCAGCATGGCCCCTCACTCCCAACCCTAGCCCCTCATCCCCATGACTCCATCTGCTGATGTTGCGACCCCATTTGGGGTTGCAATCCACAGTTTGGGAACCACTGATCTACTCTTTTAGTCACTATTTCTGCCAGTTCCACACTGTTTAAAAACAATGCAATTTGGATCAGCAACCAGTCTCCTTACCCAGCAGAAAATCTGGGCAAGAGCTCACTACTTTGTGGATGTGTCTACACAAGACACTTTACTCAAGATTAAAGCAAACTACTGCACAGTAAGCATCACCGTCTACACATTCAGATGCTTACTACACAGTAATTGCCTCTAATCACAAGTAAATTTGCTACCTGGAAATACAAGTAGCAAATTTACTACTGATTACTTACTGCACAATAGATCACGTGTAGATGGCAGACTGGGAACAAATGTGGTCCCGGTCAGCCAGGCAGCAGGGGACAGGAGATTGCTCCCTGCCCCTAGAAGCTGTCTGATGCCAGGGTGGGCTCCGCCATCAGGGCCTGGGTAGGGAGCTGCCAGTCCCTGCTTCACAATCGTGATCACAATTGTGTAGAGAGGGCTGGGAGCTCCCTGCTGCTGGGGCAGTGTCCCAGCCTGTGCCAGGAGACAGCTGTCTCTGGTCCCAGGGCTCCCTGTCAGGCCCTGGGCAAGTGCAGGGGCTGGTGCAGGGATGGGAGCAGACTGCTGCCATGAGCAGCAAATCTGCTCCCATTTTCCCAAAGATGTAGATGCCTGCCTGGGGTGGGTTTACGCTAGAGTAAATTTTTCTCTAGCGTAAACCCACCCTGGAGCATTTGCATGCATAGATGTACCCTGTAATGTTTAGTGAAAAGCATAACTGCAAATTTCATTTGCATGTGGAACGTGTTTTCTTGAACAGAAATAGACTCAAGGAACCAAAAACCTTATTTTGAGATTTGTTTTAATGAAATAATATTTTTAAGTATTTAAAAATAATCAGTTGAAACATTATGCTTTTGTCTCTTGAACATTGTCCATTGGTCTAAGATTATGGTTTATATCATGCCAATATCTAGACAATGTTGGTTTACAAAGGTCTTCTAGAATTCCCGTTCTTTCTTCAGTATGACCCTTATGTGGAGACAAGAGCTTAGGCATTACTTGGGGATGCTCACAGGCCAGTAGAGGCTAGCTAAGCAGCCTAGATCAGGGGTTTTAAACCCACCCCACCTCACAAAGTTGGATCTGGACCATCAGGCTCTTCATAGATTGGATCTAGATGCTGCGACTGCAGCAGGATGAGCAGTAGCAGCCATGGTGTGCTGAGCAGTAGTAACAGCTGCCGCTTGCTCTTTACCATTGTGTCCACCCTGCTTGCCCTATCCTTAAATTCTTAACCCCTCTACAAGCCCAAGACCAGACAGCACAGCTCCGCTGGCTATAAGTTTGACACCCCTGACCTAGACAGCTGCCAGTTTAGGACAACTTTTCTGTGTTCTAGCTACTGACATTGCATAGCTGCCTTACTAAACCACAGAACTGACTTCTGTGCATCAAAAAACATTTTCTAGTTTTCTGATTTTTATCAGCAGGTTTTTTTTGTTGGAGGTCTTAAACTATGTGGTTCTACCACAAGCTCTTGGGTTAATAGACATATTCCCTAGAAGCTGATTTTTAACTGTGCAATGTGAATTGATCATAAATGTTATGGCTTATGGCTAATACACTTCACCATTATCAAGATTTAATAAATAGGTACAATGGATGGGTAGATTCTCAAAGGCACAATGGGGATTAGGTACCTAACTGATCTTTGTGCCTTTGAAAAAAATCCCTTAATTGCTTAAAATCCAATGAATATTGCACAAAAGCTGACACCAAAATCAGCTTACAGCTCTACTAAGAAGAATAATTATGGAAATAGCATTTGTCTAGTGTGGATATGAAGTGAATAAGACTTTTTAAATGAATGAATGGACATACAGGGCGATACATTTCTTTGAGCAGCTAAATTTAGTTATGCAATCTTAGGGAAAGAAATGAAAAGGAACAAAATTATCTCCCTCCCATGAACAGCTTTTGTCATGCCTTTGGCATGAAGTAAAAAATCATAAAGACAGATAGGAATAAGGAAAGATTAGTTTTAAGAAAAAAAACCCCAAGGTTCACACTAAAATTTAAGTATTGCAATTCATGACAATGAATGTTTACATGCAGGGTTTGAAAACAGTGCATTTGAAAATTTAATGTGGTAATTTTTGTCATTGGCTGAGATCAGCAAAAATTATGTGCCCGGGGTCATATTTGCTTTCTTTATTAAATAGAGTTTTACTTTTTTTTTTGTTAACATGAAAGTCTATTCTTCAGAGAGAGAGCAAGCTGAATTCTGTCCCTGCTTAGGTACTATTTGAAGGGTTGTTCACATGGAGATGTGTGACCTAGAAAGAACCCTGGATTTCATACTGCAGATTAATATTACAGAACCTGTAAGGGTAGTTGATTGAGCTGGACTTCCCTTAGAGACAGTAGCTGTGATTCCACATTGAAAGCATCCAGAAATGCACTGGGTAACTTTCATCCCAAAATAATGGAGAGTAGAGATTTATTGTACCACAGTTAAAAAGAAAAAGAAAAAGAGATAAAGAACTTTCTGAGCACAGGTGGGAAGTTCAAAGAGCTCAACAGGGCAACTGGCCAATCTCTGTCCTAGGATTCTGAAAGAATTGGCACATAAAATCACAGGTATGAAAACAAAGTGTTTTTAATAAATCTATTGAGGTGGCTCTGCTACAGTGTGAATGGAAAGTAACGAAGGTAATAGCTATCTTTAAAAAAGGGATAACAGAAATCTGGCCTATTAGTCTAACTTCAAAGGTATTCAAAGCTTTGCAATAAATTCTGAGGGACGGGATAGAGGAAAGTGTCACAACCCAATTAAATTGTGCCCATGCCACTGAGCAAGAGATACCATTCAAATCATCCTCATTTTGACGATTAAGGGTTAAAAGACATCCCTGCCAAAAATTCCTTGAAACAAAACGCGGCCGGAGTACTGTAGATAATTGGTCAGCTGAAATAAAATGCTAGGGAAAACTATATATAATTGGTCCAAAAATAAGCGTAAGCTCCTCACACGTAGCACACACGTAACAGGTAGAGAAACCTAACCCACTACCTTGTAACTTGAGGAGACAAAGAGCTGCCACCTGCCAAAAATTAAAGATTCCATATAACGGTTCACCATTGGATATTCCTGTAAAACACCTCTGTCTATAAATAGTTTAACGGTTTCTGCCCAAGGCGGAGAGCTCTGGGGATCTCACAGGAAACACCTGTGCTTGTCACCAGAGAATTGGGAAATTGATCAATTCCCAATCAATCACCCCATCAGCGTAAAATATTGACGTAGAAAGTCTTGCAAGCGCGACCATTCGTTCCCGGTGCCACGTCCGTCATTCTCTCGTCGTAACCTAACTGCGTGCGTGTACTCAACTCTGTAACCGAAGTTATATGCGTATACTCGACTCTGTAACCGAAGCTGTAACGGAACAAAGGCTCGCCTGCGTCGTCCATCACTATCTAGGCGACGTAAGTAAACAAACTCCTGTAACCTACACGCGTCTGTGCCTGGTTAATTCCACTCCATCCATCAATTACCCACCTGCCGAGCTCTAAATCTAAACACTCCGGTGTGTGAGTCAGGCGGCTGCTCTGATTCACGACAGAAAGGAGGTAAATAGGGTAAAAAAAAAACAAAATAGGTATAAACTAAATGTTTCTTTAGGGTGGAAATAAAAAGAACCATCTGAACAATGAAGGGGTGATGGCAAAAAAGTGACAGCAATGGTGAGATGCTGATGGAGCTTGACCAATCTATAAAAACTATTGCATGAAGTGGAGGCCTGCAATAGCAAGGTCTGGAGTTGATGTTCCAAGCATCCCTTACAGTCCTATGTTTTTATGATGAAGAAAAAGGGTGGAATTATATCATTGGCATGTAGGCTGTCTGTACTGGATTGCTGGCTCTTTGTTTTTCAGTGAGATGGAAGAGATGGGCAATTCCTCTGCACCAAGAGAGAGCTAGTATGGGATGTCTGTTTCTCTTGCTTTTATTTATGATTATTTTCAAATATAGAAACAATGATAATGTTATAATCACAATATTTTTCATGCATTGCATCAATATATTACCCAATGGACATAGGTAAAGGTTTTCTAATTGGTCTATGAGATAAAGTCACTCCTGGTAGTGAGCTGTCTGAACAAGAACATCTTGGACAAAGTTATCCAGCTATCAATGAACAGACATACCAACAATTTAAGTAGTTTAAATATTTCAGAGCAAGGGGACAAAGACAGACATTCAGGCCCATGCTCTAACATATGGTGCTTTACATAAAGTGCCATGAGTTAGAGTTCTGCTCCCATCCCTCTCCCCACTCCACCCCCTGGACCAAACAGATGTTTGCCAGTTGATTTGGGTGGGATTGAGCCTGTCTGCACTGGCCCTCCTGGCCAGCAGGCTTCCAAGAAGACTAATGCACTGCCACTCTCCCCAGCCCCACTTCCACCCACCAGATCTGAGACTGTCAGCAGGGAAGGAGAGGGGAGAACAAAGTGAGCAGCAGCAAGCTGCTGGCTGGGATTTCCCAAGCCTGAGATGGAGGGGGCATGGATTGGGGACAGCCAGGGTACCAGGGGGACCATGAGGTGGGAGGCCTCCGACTCAACCCCTCCCCTTCAGCTGAGGCTGGGCAAAGCCCAGCTGGCAGCTGAGTTTTATTAGCTTCCTCCTTCCCCCTCCCTCCCTGCTGACAGTCCTGGGGGCATGGCGGGCTGCATCAGCCCAGCCCCCAGTGCATGAAAAATGAATCTTAGGGAACACAAGTTCCCTAAGGTGCTCTAAAGCAGGGCACCTTCATCTAATACTTCATTTGAGGAGGGTTCATTTTTCACATGATTGGCCACTTTAAAAGTGCTCTGCAGCCATGCACGTATGTCACGACATGACTATAGAGTGCTTTCAAGGCCTAGTTGTATAAAAAATATAAGTTGTATAAGTGCCCAGGGTGTCAAATTTACAGCCCATGGGCTGGATCTGGCTTGTACAGACATGTAATCTGGCCTCCAGGCTCCTAGAGGGGCCAGGAATTTGGGGGCAGGGAGAGAGGGGGCCTGCTGGGAATGTGTGGTGGTGCTGCAGGATGAGCACCCACAGCATTAACCCCTGAGCCACCATGGCTTGTCCTGCCTCTGATGCCATATCCAGATCTAGCCCCTGAGTATCCCTACCGTCTGGAAGAAGGTTGAGTTTGACACACTTGCTTTAAAGCATTATGACTCATAACAATTTGATGAGAGAACAAATTAAGGCATGGATACAAAGTAGGGGAGGCCTGTTACTCATTTCTGCAGAACTTATATATGTTATGAGACCTAGTTAGTTATTGAGAAGGATGAAGGACACCCAAGCATCTTTAAAAAATAAAGTACCAAGTGTGGTTTAGGAGAATAAAGTGTAGACAAGTGTAAAGAGGATTATTGCAAGAGAACCCAAGTGTAGTAAATGTAAAATTCCAAGGACTTTAGTAGACCACATGTATAGTAAGGATCCTGGAAGACAGGCGAACTAATCATCTCTTGGAAGGCCATTTCTACTGTGTTGATGTTTGTTGAAGGACAACATTGAGAAAGACCTAAGAGAACTCAATGGGTATTACCAGGAATGGCCAGAAGCTGGGCATCTATAAAGCCATCAAATTGTATCCCTGAAAAACTATTATTGTCTATTATGCACAGGTGTGTGATGGTACAAAATACATGATTTTTGACCTAAATATCCTCTTCCTACATTGATTATGAAGGATTTTTTTGATATTCAGAACATTTGCTGTGCTCTCAAAATCCCAGTTAATGTAGGGTCTGAAGCCTGGAGAGGAGGCATGATGATTTGTAACAGCACATAAATGAACTTGTCATGCTCTTCAAAGTTGTTACTAGAATCTAGGCAGTGTCTGAATGATCACAATCAGCTCTGTTTAGCACATTATTGTTAACAAATTGGGATCAGTCTTTCCAATTCCTTCCTAGTCAGTTTGACTTGTAGGAAGAGAACTGGTTAGTGTGTGGGACCAGCCACAGAAATTAGACATTTAACATTTAGGACTGAAGTAGTGATTATTTTCATATTCTTTGAAACAGTTGTATGGAATAGCAACTTTACATAAATATTCTAATGCTTTGAATATAACCTATTCCTCTCCCCCTTTCCCCCCACGCCCACCTGCCAAATATGGACGGCCAAGGTGATATCTTAGCAACTGGTGAAAAATTATTAATTTAACAGAAGAAATAAACTAGAAGAATGTATAAGCGTTTGCAATTAAGGCTGCAAGTTGTTGCTTTCCTGGTAGAGTTGAGAAATAATGGAGGTTGGCAGGTTATAGACAACACAGTATTAATACAAATATTGGTAAACTGTAAATAAATAAATTGGTGTTACAATGATGTGAAGCAATACAGTATATGAAATAAGTAATTTCAAATATTGCAATGTAACTGTAATGTAACAAAACTGAAGAGTTATAAAACAGCTACAATGTTCTCAATTGGTAGCTTTTAGGATGTTGTTGCATTAGTGCAAATAATATGAAATATGAGATGCTGTCTGAGTGGAACTGATTATTTGTGAAATGTCAGTGGCAAAAGCAATTTGCTAAATTGTGCCACTATGTGAGTTGATTAGAATTTTCCTGACTGTAGATCTGCTCTGTTACCTTTTGTATATTAGAGCAACGTTTACAAACAAGCTTATTCCAACTGCTGGAAAATAAATTTAAAAGGAATATTATAGGCATACACGCACCTACTGCTTTCAGAAACCCTTTAGAGCATGTATATAATTGCACTCTTTGCTAGGGCATGAAATACATATTGAAGTATGGACCAGATTCTATAAAGCATTTCAGCACATGCTTACTTTTAAGCAGATGAGTAACTCAATGTGATGACTTGTGTTCACTGTAGTCAAGGGTCTGTGCACATGCTTTAAGTTGAGCATCCTTTAATAAATTGGAAGTTAACAGGTGATGAGCTAATGCAATGTAATAAAACCCCAAGGAGGTTTTGGAAATTAACATATATCTCATAAATGTATTCCTTTTCATCATATTTCTGACTCTGTGCTTTGTTACTTATGTTTTTATGCACCAATATGTCCAGAAATACTGCCAGTGACACAAGCCCCACTGAAATACAGCTCATCTGCACATATTCCTCCCAGCTCAAACTGAAGGCTTTACTGACAATTTTTTTAAAGCACCGAATCCACATCTGGTGGATATCAGATGGCTCCACTGAAGACTTTCCCACTAGTCTTTACTGTTTATAGATATATTATAAATAAAAGCTATTATAAAAGAGTTAGTTAAGGTTAAGGTTGTTCAGGTTGCCCAATATCCAGATTTGGCCCAATATAAAGTTGTGTCTATGGCTGAATCGCTGATTCTCTGAATCAGCATCGAATCTTCACATTCAGATTTGGCTGAATCAAACCCAGACAGTGATCCAAATCAGTGAACCGAATCACTGTCCCCCAAATCAGGCCAAATCTGAATCCAAATCGAATACTGCCTGCTTCACATGCTGCTAGTTGTAAGTTAAGGTTGTAACATCAAGCCATCAAAAGTAAGGAAACAGCAGAATTAACGTTCCCTATACAGTCTTAATGCACTACATGTGTGTATACATTGTATAATTTTTAAGTATTGATCACCTAGAGGACCTGTGTCTCATTCACTGGGACTCATTTAACCTTAGGCACTTTTGAAAATCCCACCGGTCCACTATCTGCATCTTTAATGACCGAGTACCCTCCAAAACCTGCCCATTTATGCATTGCATCACCCTATCCCTTGGTCACATTCTCTCCTCTAACACCAGATTCCCACTCCTCTCGCTTGAATTGACTTTACACCCAAGAATTTCCATTGCTTACCATACAGGTATTGTGAATAAAAATAGGCCCAAAAGCTCTTTAAATTATGTAGTTTGCAAATGGAAATGGAAGGTCACTGACTTGGACATGAGTAACTTAATAGTATTAGTAGAGATGTTTGGAAATTCCAGCAAAAGAAAGTTTGGTTAAAAGTTCAATTTGTTGAGTCCAAAATGTTTTGTTGTGAACATTTGAATGGAAATGTACCTGGATTCCATTCCTAGGGGGTCTGCCCCACATCTCGGAAGGCTGCAAGCTGTGTGTTTGATAGGTGTATCCTGGGAACCCCGTGAATTTCAAGTTTCTGATTCAGACTGAAACCAAATTTCAGATGCACTAAATGTTTCTGTGATGAAGAAATCCTGATTTTCAGCCAGCACTACTTTTCGTATAAATGGTATTCATAGAACAATAATTCTCAACCAGGGTTCTAGGGTCATGAGGTGCCTTTGAAGGGTGTCATATGGTACAAGATAAGCTCAGGCTCATCCCTGCCTGGTCATTTTATCCATCCCCCCACTGCCTGGGCCCTCTGTAAGGAGGTAAACACTATAATAAATTTATTTTTGAAACACAGTATTGCTCAATTCACAAAAGTTAGAGATGTTCCTTGAATCTAAAAAGTTTAAGAGCCACTGTCATAGAATCATAAAAAAGTAGGGCTGGAAGAGACTGCAGGATGTCATCTCATTCAACACTGTGCTCAAAGCTGGATATGTCAGGAATCACCTGATGAAGCGAGCTTGGACTCTCAAAAGCTTTTGTATCTTTGAATTAGTTACTCTATAAAGTGCTGCTCTACCCTGCCTTCTGCCTGACTTCAGATGAACACATCTAACTACCTTTCTGATACTATGTCATTTATTTCAGAACTAAAAAGAAATCGATTCCAGATATCTATATCTGCAATCTGGCTATAGCAGATTTGGTTCATATCATTGGTATGCCCTTTCTTATTCATCAATGGGCTCGAGGAGGAGAGTGGGTGTTTGGTAGCCCTCTGTGTACCATCGTTACATCATTGGATACATGCAACCAATTTGCATGCAGCGCTATTATGACGGTAATGAGTTTGGACAGGTAGGTAGTTTACTATGAATACCTTTAAATGCAGCACAGCAAATATAGTACTGTTGGAATTTCACATTTACAAAGAGTGTCCCAGTATCAAAACTTTAATAGTTCAAGAATAAGAGACTGTCATTCGCTCCAGGTGTTGCTTTGCAAATGATATAATGTCCTTACATTGCTATTTGGAGCCTCAAATTAACATGATACTTAAATAGATGGTTAATTTTGAGAAATAATACAACCAACTTCATGCCTACATTCCTTGCTGACTTAAGGTGCACTTGTAATAATATTCATAATAATACTCATTTTCACTGAAACTCAATATATTTACACTAACCTTATTTTATAACAAAGCATAGATAGAGAGTCTAATATCTGTTTATGTTATTTCTAATATCTGTTTTCCGTGTTGGAATTCAGTAATAGTTTTGACAGCATAATAAGGGTCTTAATTTCTACCATATCAATGACTTCCAAAAGCAGTTTGTCTGTGTTCACTATGTTAAGGAGAATTCTGAACAGTTCCCAGGAGACTTTACCAAGTGCAGGGGAAAGTGTGAACAAAACAGAACTTCACAGATACATTCATAGGAGGGAGGCATTAGGAATGTATTCAGACAGGGATGTTGACGATATGGTCCGCAATCTGGATCCAACCCATGGCGCTGTTTCATATGGCCCATGGAGCTCCTGGAGAAGACAGGAATTTGGGGCAGCTGGGCAAATGACGGCTGTATTAACTGCTGCACCACAACTGTTGTTCATCCCACTGGTGAATGTGGGTCCAGATGTGGGCCATAATATGCCCACATGGTCTGGATCTGGCCTGGGAAGCTGGGTGAGTTTTATATCCCTGTATTTATAGAATCTTAAAGCGACAGGCTAGGAGATACGTATTAGAAGTAAAAAACAAAATGTGATGGGTAGAAGAGTGTATTTATGAGCTGTCAGCATAAAAAGTAGCATCTCAACCCTTGTGAGTTGACTGGAATCGCCACAGGATGAGGAGGAGAACAGGACTAAGGTGAGAACCTTGACACTTCTCAATAGAGAATACAAATAGAAAAATAAAGTCCAAACACAGATTAAAAAATCAATATTTTTAGTAAAAAGTATAGAATGATATCAGAAGAAATGATTAAATGGCAAGGAATTGGATAAACAATGTGTAGGAAAATGGCAACTGTCATGGAAGTCCCATTTTAAAGACTGTGTTCATAAATCAGCATGTTATTCATGTGAGGAAAAATGCAATGGGTAGAAAAATATTTCCCTTTGTGCATCCAAATATCAGCTCTCTAACCAAAAAAGGGAAGGGAACAGGGTTGGCACTTATATACAGGCTGCAGTCCAGTTATCCCCATACTGTGGATGCATATGCATGCACATATAGACTGAGTGTGTGTTGTGGGCTATACAGTGGCTGGGTAAGTGTGCAGTTAGTGCCAAATCCATGCAGCCCTGTCATGTACCCCTAGTGGCTGAGTAGACCCAGCACTAAAGTTATTACTGGGTCATGTCTACGCATGCATTAATGTGCTTTAATTAATTGTGCTTAAATTTGATACCTGCATTTGAAGGTACAAATTTAGGCACGTTTTGCCTTATTTCACCATTTTAAAACAGACGTGAAGTTTGTGAGGGGACCAGGACCAAGAGTGCAAGAGATGAATCCTGAGGGGCTGTATAGAGTAGGCAACCTGGGTAGTCCTGACAAGCTATACAAAGTAGGGTAGTGTGACTGAGGCCCAAGAAAGGAGCAGAGCGAGTGTGGCCCTGCTAGGGGTAGTATGAGAGAGGCTTAGCATGGGACTGAGTTCAGCCCGGTAAGGGGCTGAGAGAATTGTCACTGGTATGTGATGCCATCTGCAAGGCATGGGACATGGTAAAGGGAAGGTCAGAGCTGTGTATTATGCCCTCGGCATCAAGCAATAAATGGGCAGCCTCCCGCCTATAAACAACTATTCAGTTCCAACAAAGGTATAGCACATGAGTCAGGTGGGCAGACTGCCCTAGACAGGTGAAAGGGCCAACAATTAGACTGGCCCTGGGAAGGCTCCCCCACCACAACCACATGCAGTGCACACACTATACCAACCCCACCTCTACAGCAAGCCCTAGGTCAGGCATGTACTGAATGTAGTACAAGTGGTTGGACTGGCTGCATGTACAGTACATGACACAGGAAGCTGGCACAGGGTACCCCATCAGACTGGCTCTACCCGCTGGCTCCAGCATGGCCTGATCTGGACCAGCCATGGAGCCAGCACATGCAATGCATGGAGTTAGCCAAGACCCACAGGCTGGATGGTATGGGTCATAGGCCAGAACTAGCTCATGGGCCTTAGGTCTTACACCCCTGCATTAATGGATTTTCAGGGACTTGAGTAGGGTGGAATAGACTCACTCTTAGGTGCCTAAATGTACTTTCACTTATTAGGTACAATTGAATCTAAGATTGTATGTCCTTGATAGATTTTGAGTTCTTCCTTCCTGTAAATACTGTATTTGCTCAAATACAAGATGAGGTTTTTTCCTCCAATCAACAGAGGGGGGAAAGTCCCTCATCTTACATTCGCATACAAGGAAACCACATTAAATGCATGGTCTGTCTTTGAACTGCTCCTTAAAGCAGCATGTGATCAATAATGGAAACCAACTCTGATCTTAATTAAATGTAGCCAACACTGAGCATGACCCATATAGGGGAAACATGTTCATATGATTAGTATGGCCCCACCCTCTATAAGGTGAAGCCAGACCAAGTTGCTCTGCATCTCATTTGCATATCAATTTTTAGAAGATCCCAGGGTCCATGACAAGAACACCCAGTTCCAGGCATGGGGGGGGGGGGGGGGGGGGAAAAACAGGGGGGGGGGGGGGCTAATTACCACTCCCTTTATGAGAGTTATCTGGAGTATGCACACATACTGAACAATGCTGAGCTGTGAGGTCACCATGGCTTGAAATGCTGTTGACTCTGCTGGGGCCCAGCCCAATGAACTACATGGTAAATCATAAGCCTTTTGGCTTTGAATTACTATCGTGCATAGTTAGTACTATAGTAGGTGCAAAAAGGCTACTCAAAAGTGTGTTTATGGATTACCAATGCTAAAATTTGCAGCAGTTTCAAAAAAGTTAAATGCATCAATTCTGGATGAACTAAATTAATAGTTACTATATACAAATCACTACAGTTATGTTTATTTCAAGGACAGTGTTTTCAGATTTGCACCTCATTTCCATGTGCTCCAAGAGAGCAGGTTCTGGATGTAAGAAGAGGGGAGGGGGCTGCAGGGGGAAGAAGTTGTGGGGGCAGAGGGCAAACGGACTACCTGACCCCCAATATTTTTTTTTTCTGTAGCAGTGGGAAGGGGGAAAATTCAAGACAAATGTCAAATAATTAAATTATATATCTGGAAAAGTATAACAAATTATATGCATTTTCCATATAGAGAATATAATTATTGGGGGGTCATCTTATAATCAGGGTCATCTTATAGTTGAGTAAATACAGTAATCAAGCTCATGAGAAAGCAACACAGTGGGTGCATCTACACATACAATTAATAAGTCTGAATATACTCCAGGTCGATTTAAACTGGAATAAACTAATCCCAACGTCACTGTCCATGCATATGTTTAAACTCAGTAATTTACTGCAGTGTAGGATAGCACCTATGTCTGAGAAGACCATCTGAAGCCAGAGTAAATTATTTTACTGCAGTGTGTGTGTAGAAGGTGATGCTTTACTGCACATTCATTTAATGCACAGTAAAGTGCACGTGTAGACACACCCAATATTTGGTAACAATTGTGCATGGGGATGCTAAAGCTGTTTATTGGCATTTTTCCCCTGCAGACCAAGGGTCTTAACACATCTTTACATGTGCTCCAGGGGTGGGGTGGGGATGGGGGCGGTGATTTAATTAGAGTGACTCTTGGGTCCAATCCTCTGCCTGAAGCAGGATCATTCCTATCTAATTAGTCCTATACAAATTCTTGTCTAACCTATTACTAAAACTGCACAAGTAACCCTGTCACACAACCACAAACTATAGCACTTAAGCCTGCCAGAGCTAAAGCAGCGGGACAATGGTGATCAGTATCCTGTTGCTACAGTTGTTAAAATATTCTCAAGAGATCCAAGGAAGAAGGTCGTGCTCGCACAATAGAAGAAGGCAAAGGCCACCCCAGTCTGTACATATCTGACCATAGGGTAAAATTTCTTCCTGATCCCAAATATGGTGAACAGTCTGACCCTGAGTGGAAGAGCAGGGCCCTCTAGCCAGCAAGGCACTCTAGCCAGGAACGCTGGCACACTCCAGTCAAAATCCCAAACATTTTCTGCAGCTGACATCCAATGCTTCTGAGGAAGGTGAAAAAGAATCTATAGCAAGAGGAGGGGGAAAAATTCCTTCCTGACCTTATGTGGCAGCCAACAATGCTCAGAAGTATGGAAAATACCAAAATACTCTCCATTCTACTCTGCAACTTAGGGACACCAAGCATAAGTCCACAATGACCAGGATGGGGGAAAAGTAGGAAGTTTGAATGAAGGGAAGCCCCACCCATGTACTGAAGCTGCTATGTAGGGTAACCTAAGTAAACTAAATAGTTAGGGTAACCCCAATAGACTATTTTGATTATTTTATCAGTAAGTATGACACATGCCTTGGATCTTCAGAAAAGCTGATTTTTTCCCCAAGCAATTTGCTAATGATATTTTTGAAAGCAGCAAATGTAATTCCTGCTCCTATTGGTTTCTCCTATTTTTGCTTGACCAATAATCTCATAGTTCTACCCAAAAGGCAAAGTAGCTTATATACTTCACAATAAGTACTGCTGTATGGATCTGCAAGCAAGGGGTGATATAGCAACAGGATTAGGTCAGACAGTTTCCTTTCTACAATTATTTATTCCAGGATTGACATGTCTTGAGAAAAATTCTGGGTTGGGACACTAGCTAAGAGATTACCAACACCCTGACACGAGCAAACCAGAAC